TCAGATCTCGCCTTCTTTTTTGCGAGCACACCCAATATGATTCCGAAACCATCATTGCCGATGAAGCATCCCGGACACATCAGCCGGTACTCGTCGTCATCGTCACCCGCTTCTCATCGGCATTGGTGACGTTCATCGACTTGAGCCACACATACAGTGCCTCTGTACCACGTTGACGGAGCTAATTGAAGGGCGAGGAACGTAGGGGCTTACTGGTGAGCAGAAAGATCCCACTGGCGCCTGTGGTCACGACATTTTCAGTGCAGCGTCCGAGACAACACAGGTCCTGAAGTGACAAGGAGGCTGAACATTTGGCTACTAGCTCATGAACTACCGTAAGTAGTTCGACGGGCCTCACCGGTGCGCCCTCCTGCAATGTTTCGGCTGCCAAGCGTAAAACAGATGTATGTTCAGAGAAGTATCGAGGAACTGTGCAACTGACTTAATCGTAGTTAATTTAGCTATCACCAACTGTCCACGTCTGCGACTGTATCGCCACTCCCAAAAGCTGCCTAAATACCCAAGATCGTGAAGCGCTCTACACCCATTGTCACATTTCGCGCTTGGCCGTCCCGGGGCTCGATTTGCTGAATGACACTGAAATATCGAAGGAGACGAGGAGCATTGCACATGCCTATGAGCTTCCGGCGTGAATAGAGTCTAAAATGGAGCGAACCATAGATGGCAGTGACAAAAGGCGCGAAGGAATAAATTCCCGCTCGCCAGAAGTTTGAACATGGAATCGGTTCCCGTCTCAGCACGAGTTATGGCGATACAGACGCAGGTTACGGCTGTGTTTCTTTCCGCGTCTAGGTGCCCAAATTTCGACACGACATCGTGAAGAGGATGTGACCGGGACTTGGAGTGAAGTATGGAGGAATCTTCCGCATCCACGATGACACCGGTATCGTAATACTGTTTGTCGACTGAGGGTAGCAGCGGACGGACTTCATACTTTACGATGATGGAAGACGCGTTGGAGGTGTGCCGGAGGTGTCCTCGGCAGCTGTGCTATCATAGAAGATTTTTTGATATAACGTAGTCTGGAATGCCATTAATAAGCTGTTGAACAGTTGACGGGAAGCGATGATACGTGTATCCGGAGGATTTGCATAACAGGTAGCGGGACCGTTGTGGGGGACAACCAACGAAACGTCGAAGAAACAGCGAAAGTACAAACGATTCGTCGAGATAACCGTTTCGAGGGATGTGTCGATAGGCATGCGACGGGAGACGGTTTTTACATTAACTTGACTTTCGAACCCAGCTCGAAAAAGCTCGGTAATGATGCAACGCAGTCAGTTGTACATTCCAAACTACAAGACAGTGTCACTTGGGCGCACTGTTTGCATTGGGGCGCTAACGGTAACTCTTTGGTCGGTAACCGGTCGTCTGAACGACCGCCGCTAAACTGACCCATAGAGACTTGGGGTAGCTTTAGATGATATGTTCTATCCCTCTCGCCGTGATACCGGAGGCGTATGGAACCCACAGGGTGAGAAAAGGGCGAGAGCTCACTAGCTACGGCTAGGCACTCGTCCTTCCTATTCATTTTTGGGGATTTGGCGTTGATGAAAAATGCCTCAAGTGTTTTCCACGCCGAAATGAGGGGTTCTCGTAACGTGATCCTGACTGTAACTTTGAATACCGCACTTTTATGGGACTCTACTCGGTGAGCACCTAAAGGGGTCTCCACCCTTGCTCGACTTAAGCCCTCCAAATGTTTCTTGACCCTAACGCACAGAGGTCGCCCACTCTCCCCAATATATTCATCCTCGTACAGATTGCATATTGTCAGATAGATCACGCCTGGTGTCATGCAATCACCCTATTGTCCATTAGAGCAGATGACGCAATTGGCAGTCAGGCAAATTCGATCGTAGCAGCGGTTTCGAACCAGCCGCTGCATAAGATTTTCAGGTGGGCTCTTGACTACACGTGCCATGTCCTTTAGGCCACACCTGCGCAGCGCCTCTCTTATTTCACAGCTCATAGTATCACTAATATAAGGGATACAAAACGCTTCTTTGTCCAAACTATCGATGGCGGGGCCACGCCTTTCCTTTTTATATTATCCATAATTGTTTCTAGGAGCCATAGGGTAACCAACAGAAAGTGCGACCTTTCTTGCAAGCTCCATAGAGTCAGTTCTCTCCTGCCTTCCAGATGGCACCAATATCGACGTTTTAAACATGCTACTTGTGATAGCTCGCTTTGTTCTGAAGGGATGCGCTGAAGTGAAGTGTACTAAGATGTTTCTGTTACCGGGTTTTCGATACCATTTGGTATGATAAAACCCCCTTCAAGCCTGACTTGTGTATTGAGGAAGGGAAGCCCATTACTTTTTGGCTTCTCACGAGTGAATTTGATGTTTTCTGCTTGTCTGAGTGAGCAGCTCATAACACGTGTGCATTTCCTCTTCCGTACTTTGGATAAAGTAGCGTTCTGTATCCCCTATATTAAGCGGGCGCTGCACAGGTGGGGCCTAGAGGACATGGTACGTGTGGTCGAGATCCCACCTGAAAATTAAGCAGCGGCTGGTTCGAAACCGCTGCTACGATGCCTTACTCCCAATTGCGTCATCTGCCCCAATGGACAATAGGGTGACTGCATGACGCCGGGCGCAATCTGTGCGAGAATGAATATATTGGGGAGACTGGGCGACCTCTGTGCGTTAGGGTCAAAAAACATTTTGAGTGCTTCAAGCGAGCAAGGGTGGAGACCCCTTTAGGTGTTCACCGAGTAGAGTCCCATAAAGGTACGGTACTCAAAACTACAGTTAGGATCCTGTTACGAGAACCCCTCATTTCGGCGCGGAAAACACTTTAAGCATTTTTCACCAGGTCCTCAAAAATGATTAGGAAGGACGAGAGCCTTGCCATAGCTAGTGAGCTCTCGCCTTTTTCCGACCTTTGTGGGTTTTATACGCCTCCGGTATCACGGCGAGAGGGATATGGCATATCATCTGAAGCTACCCCAAGTCTCTATGGGTTCAGCGGCGGTCGTTCAAACGACCGGTTGCTGCCGGAAGTGGGTTAAATGTTTTTAGGGTTATCATGCCAATTTTGAACTATTAGGTCTACAGAACCGGTTTTTGCAGTTGTGTTGAATGAGAGATGGATAGCGATTATCTTTAGGTCTCCAACTCTGAAGAAGGCGATAACGCCGAAACGTAAGTTGATAATAACCTATGTAACATCTTGGTAGCAGGCTTTATAAAAAGTTTGAAAATAAAATCAATTCAAAGCCATGTCAAGGTTGATTGAGAGTCGAACATGGATGCTGACTGCATGCTCATCAGGCTTTCGCAGAGTCCAAGTCTCTGAGGCGCTGCCAAGCAGGAAGGACCGCAGCATCGGAAAGGTGTGCGCAGAGCCGGATGTTCTTCGTCTTCTTCACTCCCCCTCGATGTTCTTAAATGCACCCCTTGCCGCGCGTTCTTTCTGCTCAGCTCCGGAGCTAGGTCGTTCATCATATTGACTTCGCGACTCAGATACACATAGTTAAAGTATTCAGAGATACTCGTTCCGTTGAACGTGAAAGGAGCATCAGGAACCATTCCGTTTCTCATGAACATCGTCTTGTGAGGTTTAGTCTTAATCCAATCTTTCCGCAAGCCTTGTCGAATTCAGCATGGCCAGCATTTGGTTCGCCTCTCGATGTTCGGTGTTATCAGCACGTCATCTGCAAAACGAGATTATGTAAGCGGCGGCCGTCGACCTTCACTCCCATGCCTCCACATTCCATATGACGCACGCAGAGCGGCGCTGAAAAGTTTGGGCGAGATGGTATCGCCTTATCGAGCCGCTCTCCTCACGTTGATGATTTCGTTAGAGAATTCCGAGATCCTGGCCTTGAAGTCGCTGTAGAGCCCATGTAGCATCCTTATATATTGTAGGAACACCCTGATTGCCCAGGGCCTCAATTACCGCTTCTATCTCGACGTCAAAGCCTTCTTCAAATCGATGAACTTAGGACATAACAGCATTCGATACTCTCGCGATACTTCATGGATTTTCTAAAGGCGAGGATGTGATCGATTGTACCGAACCCTCTCTGAAACCCTACTTGCTCGCATGGCCGTCCTTCATGTAATATTCTGCCAATCCTGTTTAGGATGATGCGAGTGAAAAGTTAATAGATTACAGATGGCAAGCAAATTGGGAAATTTTTCCCAATGTCACCTGGATCTCCATTCTTACACAATCGCACTGATTTGCTAGTTTTCCGCGAAGTCCGCGAAGTGAGTTTCTACAGGTACCGCGTGAAGAGTCCAGGATTTTCACAATGACTGGCGGAAGGCTCTTGAGATGTCTGATCTTGTCAGGACCGGAGGCCGTACCATACTTCTAGATGAGATGGCATGCCCAATTTTGGAAGGGAGAACTGAAGGGGCCACATATGTTTTGCCTGAAATGATGGGTAGGAGGTAGGCGTGGCTTTCGAAGAAACCACGGTAGAAGTCATAAATGACCTTCTCCATTGCCCTCGAGATGCAGTAACTGTACGGAACAGTTACCGCATCTCGAAGGGCAGTGGAGAAGGTCATCTATGAGGCCTTGGTCTTAAAACTGACGAAGCTTCGACGGGTTTTGTGAATGCTCTTTCTAGCCTCAGCGGTTTCGGTCAAAACCGCTGCTTTTCTCTCTTTCAGATCTTCCTTTATCACTGCTCTGCATAGCTTTGCAAGTTCGGACTTTAGCTGGTTATTGTCTGCAGCTCGTGATTTCACGCTGGCGTAGCAGCTCGAGAGTCTCCGAAGAGAGATGTTTCTTGGCATCTTCGAGACTCTCGGCTTTCCTGGCGATATCGTGAAGATGTTCGACGAGATGGACGTATTCTTCATCGATGTGATCTCTAAGGGAATCTTCACCCAAACTCGCCAGTGGCGAGCAATCAGCGCGGAGGAGGCGATGAACCGAATCCGTGTAGAACTTCGGAACAATACGACGTCAGTCAGGCAAAACTATTGATGATGATGTGATCTATTTCATTGTGGTATTGCTCACCAGCGGACCCCTATGTCCATCGGGAATTAGAGGGCTCCTGGAACTACGAGTTACCATGGATAGTGTAGGTCGACATTATTAATTCGGACAGCCTTTCACCCTGCTCTTTCCATTCCATTCTGTGAGCCCCGATGTGGAGCATTTCAGCCGTTCTTATGGGGCCAGCCGTGGAATTGAAATCACCGACGAAGTTCTCGGTTTTCTCTGCGGAGCCCCTCTAAATTCATATAAAATGCTTCTAGCTCTTCTTCGTCGTAGCTCGATGTTGGTGCGCAGACAGCGAAAATTGTTAGAGCTGGGGTTGGGCCACATATTCTCAACCGCAAACGTTCGATTCAGGTTGGCAAGTCTTTGTACGAATAGATGTTCAAGGCCAAGTGCGGGCTACGAAGACACCTACTCCGCCTGCGCCTCCGCTGTCGCATGTTTCAGGCAGCAGTTCTTCCCCATTTTCAAAAATGACGTGCAACGGGTGCCATCTCATCTCGATCAGTCCGATGACGTCGTACTTGCTGGCTTGCATCACCTGCATTGGAAGGACAGATCGCCATCTTGGTCCTTCTCTTTTTAGGCAGCCTGTCATGGCCCTGGGGTTTTAGCAGTCGGTTTACTTCTCTTTTCATAACTGTTTGCGTATTAGGTGATATTCCCCAATTTGAACGATCTGATGCCGCTTTGTGGGTATCAACCTCTTGACACTAATAGGTGGTCGTAGAATTGTTTCCATTCTAAGCTCCTCTAGTTCCCAGTGGTTTGATTGTCCTGCGTCGTGGGGGCAAGTTGTGATTTTTAGTCTGTGACGTCATAAATAAACTGGATATTAATCAACGGACCAACATAAAGAGCATCGGTTGACTTTCCACTTCCTGACCGTTTTCTCACCGCGCTCTTGTGATCTTTACGCCCTTGAGCGTGCCTACGTGACTTTCGGGAGGACACACAAACGGGCGTACGAACGGACACACAAAGTTAGCGCTTTATATATAGAGAGGATATCTTTTCTATATAAATATTATTCGAGAGATCAATGGTAGCTCTAACGCGAAATTCTATCGATCAGTAGAAGAACGTTGACGAAAGCTTTCGGACGATGCAAGCCGACATCCTGTGGTAAGGACGAAAGCATGCGGCAAGGTAACAGGTGTTGCCTCTCTCTCGGTAGGCAGGTAGTTCCCCGGGCGAGTCCTTGTCCCCTGCCCACAACGCCGTGATTTAGACATAATGTACCGCGGCTTGCTCTGTGCAACCCAACGCGTGAAGAACGATTCAACCGCCACTTTGGGCGGACGGATAAGGGGAGCTCGAGCGAGGGGGCCTCCACGCCTCAGTTCTTCGACAACTACCTGACCACAGCTTCAAACGTCAAGCGGCAAGTCGGCCAATAAAAAGCCTCGCATAACTGTAAATTACTGGAATTTCGCATTAGGACACATGAGGTGGTATAGTGGCAAGAGTCGCGCTATCGCACATGCATGTCACTAATAGACCAAATACGCGGTTAATGAACCATTACGATTCTCACTGAAGTGAAACGCAGAAAGGTGCCCTCAGACGGATGTAACTCCAAATGGCTTCGAGATCCAAGGAGATGACCAGGTTCCTGTATGAGCTATTCCTTTTGAAGATTCGAAGGATACAGTGGCGGAGGAAGTGTGAGAGTGATGACAAACCTTCTAACTACCATAATCATTTTTCAAATAACACGTAATCACGAACTGTAGTTATGTTCGGTTGGGGAGGTTAGGAAAACTCGTTGCATTACCATTTCCACTATTCTTCAAATGTGTGGAAGGGCTTGTGACTAGTCAACATAGGATGTAAAAGCACTTTGCAAGTGTTAAGGGCACATTTATGAGGAATTAAGGTAAGCGAATGTGTCAAAGGAACCTTCATGACACTACTATGAATCGCCGCCCCTCGGTTTGCCTGTTTCGTGACTTGTAGATAACTAAGGAGGGGGTGAACAAATTCGAATATCTGTTCCCAAAATCGTGTAGCAGGTTTGCAGTGTGGGTTTGAGGTCAGTTCTGAAAAACGCATACGGCGGCATACATCTCACCTTGAATGTCTACTACGACCAGTTCCTTCTCTTGTGAAACCAAAGAGTTGACAGTTGAATATCCTTAAAAAAAAGTTACCACAGTGAAGCTTTTCTATACTCTATGACACAGGAGTCCGCGAAAACGTTAAGCAATACTATCACTAGATCTGAAGGCCAGACCAAGAAATAGGCGCGTCATAAAACTTACTAAACCTGAATTTATTGGCATACTGAACCTGAATTTATTGGCACCTTGTAGAGTGACTGGATCAGACTGTACAGGCGAAGTAGCGATTCCTGAAAGAGTGAAATCGACCAGTAACAGCTTAATCAAGGAGTACGCCTTCAATTTTGATGTTGATAATGACCGTAGTGCCCACATCCACCAGCTCAATTACACGTGCACACATCACAATGACATTTCATTGTGTATTCGAGAAACATTCACCAAACAAAAAATCCTCTTTGTTCTAAAAAAAAGTAATCCCGCGTACATAAACACGCAAACTTCTAGCGAATATAGTCAAACAGACATATAAACCACGTTCCTCGAATAAGAAGGGAAGTTACATCGATCCATGTCTAGAGAAACGTCAGGATCTGAATCACAACCGCAAACGTTGCGGAATGAGACAAGAACTGAACTGACTAAGCAAGTATATGAAAACCACAGTTGAAGCTGAGAGAGAATAAAACGCATTACAACGAACAAGGAGGCACAATAGGTACGCACTGATAATGAGGGCAAAAGGATCAAAATAGAACGGCTAAAACTGAACTGTAACAGATAATATCATGATTAGAAAAAAAAAGCATAAAGCACTTTTAAGTTTCGTCATAGCCTCAGAAAAGAGCGATGTCGTTTCAATATTGCCTTTCAGTGCCAATAAAACTTGGTACGATCACAGCGGATCTTCATAAAATAATGAGACGACATAATGACAGAACTCTCTAGTCAACACCAAGATGAGGCGAGCCGAACTAGAAGTTAAACTTGAAGCTGAACGGTCCTCCGCCCTCTCGGAACATGAACCCACCAGGAAAACTGCAACCTTTGTAATGAGTTACTCTACTTGGGAGTAGTTAGAAACAAAAAATTCCAAAAAGTCAATCACGAAAAGCTTTGTTAAATGAACAAATACTGGCTCATAAACGCACCCGTGATGATAATGCGTATTGCCACCTTGCTTAGCGTCTGGGTCAAGAGGGTCGATTCCCTGATCGAACTGCGCTCGTTTCTCTAGAAAATATGCACAAACAGCATCTTATGTAGGGCACAGTCTTTGATAAAAGATAGTACGAAAAATTCACGAAAAAAAAATTTGGAGTCGCCCACCATCATCTGAAAGCACCTCTTTCGCAGCGGCGATGTCTATAAACTTCGCCTCAGCAGTTTTCTTTTCCTTTTCATCGCTGAAGTTGTCTGGATGCCACTTCTGAGCTAACTTTCTATACGCTTTGCTGACATCCCGTTTACTTGCGTTTCTAGAAAAGCCCATGCATTACATTAATCACTGAATTACATTGCTCTCCTGTATATTGCATAATTATATCTCCTAAAAACTATAAAAGAGATTGCATAAAAGCAGCAATGTGGAACGATAAAAATGCTCATGGATTAAAAGGAACTGGACTGATTGGATTAGGCATAACATAGAAATTGTAGACCATCACAGTCAATAGAAAGAAAAGCGAAACCAATGGCAGAATCTCAGAAGGACTACTGATCATCAAGGAAACAGAATGCATTGATTTTTCGAATGTCACTCAGTGCGGAAGTGCATGCCTCGGGGACAACAAAAAGCTCTGATTTGGAAAAGACAACCCATTCTTTACAAGAGTTAATGATGCCTAGGGCGAAAGGCCGAAGAGAAAAAACAATACGATGAAATCAAAAAATGCAAGTCACGGATTTTCTTACAACTGTACCTTTTCAGCCCAAGAATTTTATAGTAGTCGCGCTTCCCAGCTTGTTTCTTCAGTTTCTGGGCCTTCTCCAAGCCTTCCTGTGCTCGCCTAGACTCCCCATGCACTTGATAAGCCTTGTGGAAGTCTTCAATAGCTAAATAATATGTATAGAGGAATGCAAACACAGAAACACGGTTCGAATTACATGAATGTAAGTGATGCCATCAAATCAGACTTCCAAATCCTATTAGTTATGAAGTACCTTGAGCAACAAGAATATTTCTCGTAAAATACTACTCCGTATTTACCCTCATCATATCGTTCATCCATAAGGTACACTTCTGCACGATCACAGAGAACTTCGACATCGTTCGGATCACTGTTCTCCAAAACATCCGTGCACTGCTGGATCGCTTCGTCAATATGGCCAAGCTTAATAACATCACTGGGCCTACGAAAGCAATTAGTTAAACTTGTCAAAACCAATGTAAAAGACAAACCTTCATGTTGCACCTACATAGGTGTCGATAGATATCCATTTGGATTTCGCTTACTTTAGTTTCAATTTTTAGAACTTGTTGACCCTTTTCTAGACATGTCATCCAGTCCTCACGAGCCGTGGCGTCATCCATTGATTCTATGAGAAGGAGAAATTATGAATAAATAACGAATAAGACAGAAAAAGTAACATGTGGAAACAAAGTACCCTTCATTTTTGCGAGTTTCTTAACTTTCTTGTAGAACGGGAAACATTCCTTGTGATCTGGATTCAACTTGAGACACTCACGAATTTGGCTGCAATCGGGACATAATGTGAGAACCGAAAACAAATAACGTCTGGAAAGAATTTAAAAAAAACTTACTACAAAGACTGTTCAACCTCTCCGATCCCATAATAGAGCTGTGCGATCCTCAAGTAATCATCCGTACTGTCTGCCACCAACTTTGTGAGAGTTCGCATATCAGCGATAGCTTTTCTCACCTCACCCAGTGATTCCAAACACTTAGCTCGAAGCCGATACAACGAGGGATCCCACATGAGATGCTTACAATACCACTTTAAACAAATCGGCTTCAAATATGAATCAGCGGAGCACCGTACCTCGACAGCCTTGTTCAAGTAATACTCAGCCGAATGATAATCTTTCCGCTCGAAAAAAGACTTTGCCTGATGGAGGTACTGTCGCAAAACAGCTACCAATTCTACTTTGGCGGCTACTTCCACATTTCGTGGCTCTACGGCTAACTTAATAAGAACAGACAACAACAAATAAAGTAGACGTAGAATCAGTCGATCCCTCCAAAATGAGGTAGCACTTACAACTGCATGGAAGTCGCTCTCCGCAGCGTCTATATCTCCTTGCTTCAAAAGAACATTCCCTCGCTGTATCCTAGCCTGAATAAAGGATTGTGTGACAGGAAGGAATGTGCTCAGTAGTTCATAATGTTTGCATGGCCAAGGAAAGAAATCAAATCGAAACAAATAGTGTTACTCTGGGCAAGATTCTGAATCAAACTGAGTTGAATGCTGTCAACTGTAGATGGAAAATAACGGCGGCAAAAATAGCTCGAAATGACGTTCAGGACTGCCTAAGCTCACCAGGGAGCGCTTCGTTCCAATAGTTGACGAAACTGGGCCACACCACACACGTCACGCGAGGCGTAGAAAACTGGGGTACACTTCTTTCCGCGCATACGTCGAAACTAGGTCACGCCGCAGCGTTCGCAAGCGGTGCGTCAACGTGCGATTTTTGACGGACGTCGCAGTTGTCAATGGGGCATACGATTGGCGCTTGGTCCAGGCAGTCAGCCTGAAGAGAAGATACACGGATGATCCAACTCGAGATCGCAGTGGGCTCTGCCGCGCGCGAAGTGGGCGGGGTGACCGAATTTCGACTAACGCACGGAACGGACGTTCTCCAGCCAACTGCGATGTCGAAATGGACGGGTATGAACCATGTAAGGGCTTTGCGGTTTGGACTTTCTCAGTGCCCCGACATTTAAATACAACATCGGTGCTGCAGCGGTTCTTTACGTTCCTAGATGGGAATCTTATTCAATTTACCGTCTTGCTGCCTCATTTCCTGATTCCTCTATTTTCCACATAGAAAAATTCGACACGTCTTATTCTACTTCACCTTGCTTCTTCTACAAGTAGATCTTCTTCATTTCTCAATCGTGCCTTCTAATTGCATTCAAGTATCCGCCCGCGGTAAGGTTATTCGAACCGCAAAACCACTGCACGGTTCAAGAGTGCCCATCGCAAAATCCCAACGAGATGTGCCGCGCGCGACGTGTGTGGCATGACCTAGTCCTAACGGCGATTGGTTCCCCATGCTCACTGTATTCCGTAGATAAAGAAATCGATCGATTTAAAATTCCTGTACACGGAAGGTGTGGAAAAAAATCGGACACATACCTGCTTAGGTGCAGGTGGGAACAATATCGCGATATTGGCCTTTATCCCGACATGCAAATTCATGCTTCTCATGGGCAATGACCAGGACTTTCTCACCCAACGGCTATTTTAAGAGGAAAGCTGAATTCTGAGAAAGTACAACGTCGAAGAGCGGGAGTGGGAGCACAGGAATACACATAATCATATGGTTCTCCACATTACACGGAGCGGTTTCCAGAAATTTCACATTTAATTATTTTCATGTATTCCACTTCACGCGCCTCAAAAGGGTAATAATAACAGTTATTGTGGTTTTCTGATAAGTTAAGTTACAGGATAGAGAGAATATCGAGCAGCTATTATCACCCTAGTTTACGAGCAGAGCTAGCACAAGACTATAAATACCACAAATGAATACAAGACCATAAATAGATGGGGAGGAGTGCGGTAGAGACCTTTTTAGCAGGAGTGGCCGCGGTTGGCATTCAACTCCAATGACTACACCAGTCGACAATTTTGCCCCAAACAAATAGAGGAGTTTCCCTTCGGCACATGGGTATACCGATAAACCTCGTGGAACAGGGGAGCCAGGACCGAATCCTTGATATTCTTGATATCATAGTAGGGCTCCAGTCCTTATTTCTCGATGGCGGACCAATGAGGAAACACTCGAAAAGAGAAAGAATGTGATGTATGAAATGTCATACTACTCCGTTTTCACAGACAACACACATGAAAAAAAATTGATAGTCCTAATGATAATTCTATTAGTGAAGCCTCGTGCCCGAACTAACAATAAGTCAGCTAGAAGTGACATGTCACACTATTAGTGGGGCGCTGTTACAGAATGGATGAGAGTCCTCTGTAGCTATCTAAAATGATCATTTTAGTCTGATTTCAGAGCTAATCATATCGAAAACACCAAGTCTCAATAAAGTTTTCTTATACCTCTTACCGTTTACCGAACCAAATATTAAGGTGTCCATAAAGTTTGTTGACAGACGTACACGGGTTCTACCTTGCCGTGGTGTACGAGCCTGAGGCGGGGTCGGAATATTCGACAGAATAGGGTTACGCCGGAACCCC